CTGCACTGGAAGGGACTTCTCCAGGGGAGGGCCCCGGTCACTGGACGTCCCTAACCTCCAGAAAGTCCTGTCCATTCCTGGCCACTGCTGCAGGAGCCTGGGCCAGCTGTGGACGGCTATGCCCATCACAAATGCTTCTGTCCCATCACGCCTGCTGGGTCACGGACAGAAATGTCCCTCTGGCCCTCCCCTGTCCCCGCCTAGAGAATGACCCGCTGGGCCTCTGTGGGGAGGGGGAGGTGCAGGCCCAGGTCTGCGGTTGGCTGGCAGCTGGGCGATCTGAGCCCACCCCTGCTCTCTGGCACACTCGACGCGTCCCTGGCTCCCTGGACTCTGGTGCACAGGCCACGAAACGGCAGGTGGCCAGGAGCAGCCCAAGGGGCAGCGCGAAGCTTGGCGGACCGGTCCTGGGCCCCTCTGGGGTCCTGGATGCCAAGCTGGGCGAGGTAGGGCCAGGGCCTGCCTGAGCCGCCGGCCTGCGAAGAGGGCTCTGAGGCACCCTCTCCCCTGTGCTTCCGGTCCCGACCCCGGCCTTCCCCCCAGGCTTGTCTGGGGCCAGCCCAGGCCTTGCTGACCCCGCCAAGCCACCCCCAGGCCCCACTGCCCTGGCACGAACCCCTTGGGCCAGCCCCGGCTCCTGTGCCCCCGGGCGCTGGGCACAGGTGCCCTGGGGTCCCATGGGGGGCGGGTGCGAGGAGCCGACTCACACTCTCTGATAAAATAAAAGCAGGTGGGAGGCAGCGCCCAGACGCGGGGTGTGGGGGGGACGGCGAGCTGCTTCTCAGACGTTTAAATCGTCTCGGCCATATGTGTGTGGGCCCGTCCCCGCCTCCTGCGAGGGGCTGGATTCCCGCGTGGCCGGGGCAGGGTGGCCTCATCCGCCTTCTTCGCCGCCCAGGCCCAGGCCGAGCGCCCACTGCTCGCAAAGTGGGGCCCGGTGGAGAGCTGAGCAGTGGCGAGGCAGGGAGCTCGGGGCTGCTGCGGGAGACGCGGGGGGCTCAGGGCCCCTGAGGGCTGCGGCCTGAATGGCTCCCCACGCGTCCTGCTGCTGCTGGACGAGGCTGAGCACAGGAAGTGCCCACTTAAAGGTTCTTCGAGAAGGCCAGGAGTTTTGGAGGAGGAGGGGCCAGAGCTGGACGAGCAGGGCCGGCTGCAGGGGCCGGCGGGCGTCCAGAGGGGCCAGGGCTGGGCCCCACACCCAGCCTGACAGGCTTGCTCAGTGAAGGGACAAGCCATCGGGCGGAGGGGGCTGAGCACCTCCAGGGCCCGCCTGAGTGAGGGCACGCTCGCGCCGGGAAGCCTGTGGGTGTCTCTGTGGGTGTCTGTGAGTTTTGCTGGGAGATGAATCTGCCTTTCCCTGGGGGAGAGGCGCAGATGCTGCCCTGGGGGAGAGGCGCAGATGCTGGCCGCTGGCCTCTTGTCACCTGTGTCAGGACAAGAGCAGTCTGTGCCACAGAAACGAAAGTGCTCCCAGCTCCTGCAGTGAGGGCTCCCCACTGTGGAGCGGCCGCTGCCCTGTCCTGGGCCGCCCTGTCCTGTGCAGGGCTTGGGGAGAAGGGAGCGAAGGGCAGGTGCCTTCTGACAGATGGGGACACTGAGGCACAGAGATGGGCGGGGGCCGCGTGACGCTCTCCTCTGGGTCAGGTTGGGCCATCCCGGTTGGCAGCTCAGCCTCGGTGCCGGGGCTGGGGCCAGGAGGGTCGTGACGGGTCCTCTGGGCGGTCAGTGTGGGCCCAGGGCCCGGCAGCCCCGGAGGCCTCGGAGCCCTGCCTGCGCCTGCCCGCCTGTCCGTCTGTCCACCAGGCTCCTACGGGACGCAGCTGGAGGCGCTGGTGCTGCCTGGCGGTGGCCGAGCCCTAGAGAGCTGGACGGCCACAGCAGATGAGTGACAGCTGTGCCGTGCCAGGCGCTGGCCGTGTGTCACCTCCCAGAGCAGGCTGGGTGGCCTTGGTGCTGGGGGCCCAGCCAGTGCTTACCCACACTCGGGCGCCTGTTGTGGGTTGTTCCCAGCCAGGGCAGGGACAGCTGGACCGGGGCGCCCGGGGGTCACACAGTGTGCAGATAATGCGTGTGGGCCTGTCAGGCAGCCCCGGGGAGCTGGCAGGGGTCACTTGGGATGAGGATCAGAGCAGGGAGTCCGGGGCGCAGCTGGGATGGGGGCTGCTGCCGCGTGCGGGCGGCGTGAGGGGCCTGGGCACCCTGGATCCCCAAGGAGCTCCCTGCCCCTTCCTGACCAGGGCTGCTGGCCCCACCTGGCCTGGCCTGGGGGTGCGGGCCAAGCTGGCCTCCCACGTGGCCTGCGGCTCGGTGGGGGACGGGTGAGAGGCCCTGGCAGCCACATCAGGTGTCTGGGCCCGACTGAGGCTGGGCCCGGGCGGGAAGCACCGGGCTGACTGTGTTGAGGGCTGGGGCCTGTGAGACAGCAGTGGAGGGCCTGCTGCGCCTACACCGGTCAGCGGAGCGGGCAGCGTGCAGGTGGGCGCCGGGTGGAGGCGTGAGCCTGGCGCTGGTGTGAAAGGCACCCAGGGGCCCCCCGGGACTCCACTATGGGGCAGTGGGAGCCAGGTCCTTCTCCCTCCGCGTCGGCCAGTGTCTGCTTTCAGGCAGCATTGGGTGGGGGTCTCTCAGGCCTTGGGACCTGGGCCCCGAGTGTGACTCCGAGGGAGTGGAGGGTGGGGCTGGCTCGGGTGACCTCGTGGGGGCTTGGGGTGCTGGCCGGCATTGCCTACCTGGGCTTTTGGGGGCCTGGGTGAGGGTGGGAGGCAGGGACCTCTGTCTTAGGCTCTGGGGGGCACTCTGCCTTGTCCCCTCATTGAGGCCAGTGCTGTGCCAGGAGTCGGGGTGCGGAGGGGGGGACCGTGCCTCCTAGTTTGGGGACTGAGCCACCCGGGTTCGGGGCCTGTCGAACAGCTTGGCAGTGACCCAGGGCGTGGCCTTTGAACGCACCCAGTGAGGGTGCCAGACACGGCCTCCCGGGCCAGGGGCTCCCCCGTGGTACCTTGGGGCCCTGAGCACCCCGCCTTTGCACAGCAGCCGCATTTCTGTATCCACCGGTCTCGTGGGGAGTCGGAGGTAGGGTGGGGTCACCGGGGTCCCCCTTGCCGATAGGGCCCTGCATCAGGCCGGATCAGCTGGGCCTTTGTCTGCCTGATCCATGGAGGATTACGGCCCGGGGCAGCTGAGGAGGACTCAGGGCCTGTGGGGTGCCCACTCAATCAGTGCCCGTCCCCGAAGCCCTGCCCAAGCCGATGGAGGCAGCCAAGCCCCCAGTGACAAGAGACCATTGATCAGCTAGTGGCCGAGAGCCCAAGGATGTGCCCGAGGAAGGCACGGAGTGGCCAGCACGGCAGCTATGGGGAGCCGGGAGATGGGAGCACCCCCAGACTGAGGTTAGCCGTGGGGGCGGCAATAACAGATGTGGCCCCTTGCGACCTGGGTTTGAGGAACTGCGGGCTTTTGCGGGGGAGGGAGGGCCGTGGAGGGATGGCCGCCGGAGTCGGGGGTGGTCGCAGGGTCAGCAGCGGGGAGTGGTGGGAGCGTCTGCTGGCCTAGGGAGTGGGTGCGTGGGCCCCCGGGCCTCGTCCAGGCCGAGCCTTGGACAACCCCCTGCCCCGCTCTGGCCCCCATGGGCCCTGGGGTTTCTGGTTCCTTCTCCCGTCTCCCCCTGCCCATCCCGGAGGCTAAGGGCCCCTCCCCCGACTGCCCAGGGAACGGCCTCCCGCGAGGGCTGCTGCCTCCTTGGCAGAGGCTGAGTGGGCTCTGCCCGGGGTGGTCGCGCGAGTCTGGCCGGTGGCCCTGGTTCTCCGCGTCAGCCCAGGAAGCCATCGCTCCTGTGTCTCCTGCTGGCCTGCCCCTGCTCCTCGCGGCCCGGAGCTGCCCCGTGTGTGGTCAGCTCCTTCTGGGTGTGGCTGCCCCGCCTGGGCCTTCGCTGGTGCGGCCTTGTGTCCGGTTAGCGGGGGCTCCTGGGCCCGGCCCTCTTCGCCAGGCCAGGTCAGGCATGAGGCGGGCAGTAGGCTCAGGCCAGCCCAGCCTCCAGGGACGGTTTGCAGTGACGAAGGTGCCCTGGGCAATGGGCTACCTCCACCCAGAAGGGTCAAGCTGGGGGCTGGTGTTTGGGGGCCGCAGCTGCACAGCCAGGGGCCTGGAGCTGGGCGAGGCAGGCGGGGAGGGCTAGACCCAGCCTCGGAGACGTGCGGCCTGCAGCCCGCGCTGGGAGTCCCAGGGCGCCCGGTCATCCGTGGGCCACAGGCCTGGGCGGGTCGCCCTGCCCCCCCTCGGCTCCAGTCTCCAGGCTGCAGAGGCCTGGGCACTGGGGCACAAGAGGCCCTGGCCCTGCCCCACCTCCAGGCCGCCCTGGGGGGCGCGGGGTGACGGCGGGGCACAGGCGAGGATGGAGGGTGGACGGCAGGCTTGGGTGTCCAGCACGAGCAGGATGGTGGGGAGACCGCCTGGCAGGGCCTGAGGGTGCGCCCCAGAGGGTGCTTCTGTGAGGCCGTCACTGCAGGCCTTACAGCTGCTCTTCGTGTCCTCAGCGGGGGGAGGGCACCTGTCCGTCCTGCCTGTCGTTACCCAGCGGGACATGGGGGCTCGCGGCCCGGGGCCTCAGACAACACTGCTGCCTGTCCCGTCCCCTCCTGGTCCCCAGCTGGGAGTTCCCTTGGCCTAAATCCTCTGGCCAGCTGGGCTGGATCCCAGCTCGGATTAGCGCAGGGGATTGGGCAGAGGCGCTCGGCCCCCCCGCGGCAGGCCCTGCCAGGCTGCTCCTTCGGGGATCTGCCCGGGGTCCTGGGGATGGGTGGGCCGGCCTGGGGGCCTCCTGGGACAGCAGGTAACAGCGAGCCAATGCCAGAGGGGCCTGGGAGCAGCCCTGTGGGGGCCGCGGGGGGCGCTGAGGGGGAAGTGGGGGAAGCAGAGTAGGGGAGGGTCCTCGCGGAGCCTCTGAGCCGCCTGCCACTGCCTGACCTCTGCCGTGACGGGCCGGGGGCCCCGTGAGCCGCCCCGGCCATCGTCCGGGGATGTCTGTCTCCTGGCCGTCCACCTCCAGCCGGACCAAGGGAACGGTGGCCTGCTTGGCAGAGGCCCTCCTGTGGGTTGGAGGGAGCGTGGCCGTGTCCCCGTGGTGGCAGCTTGGCCCACTAGGTAAGGGGGCAGAGGCCAACCTGCTCCTGCCCGGGCGGAGCCCCACCCAGCCCCCGGGTGTGAAAGGCCTGGGGGTGCCCCCCCTGCAAACTGGCACCTCCTGCCTCCTGGGGTCCCCCTTTAGGGGTCGTGTGGCTCCAGCAGCACCCCCCTCTGCTGAGCCCGCCCTTGGGGCCCAGAGGCTGAACCACAGGGAGGCAGCGGGAAGGAGGGGCTGAGGGCACAGCCCTGGCGGATGGGCTGGCTGGGTACTCGGGCGGCTGTGAAGCCTTGGCGGGTGGGTCCCTGGCACTTATGGGAGCAGCGAGCTGGTGCCGGACACAACGGCCCTTACAGTGGACCTCACTGCCTGGCCCCAGTGAGCCACTGTCCCGGCTGGCACCACCTCCCCTGGGACCTGGGAGGCTTGCAGGCTGCAGACGGGGCCAAGTGCACAGAGGAGGGGCAGGGCGTAGGGGGCCGGGAGGGGGAAGGGTTTGGAGCTCAATCCCAGCACTGTGCCTCCCCAGACCTGTGCTCCCCCCGCCCACCGTGGCCTCCACGTGTACTGGTGCCACCCTGGGCCATTGCACACAGGAGGAGGAGGAGGTTTTCCTGGATGTGTCACATGGGGTGCCGGCACTTGGGAGCGGCCTGTGGCTGGGCCCGCGAGCAAGGCTGGGTGTCCTGTGGCTGCTGGGGCCGCTCCCGGCGGTAGATGGGGGTGGGGCGTGGGCAGGTGGCCCGTCCTGGGGCCTCACCTGGCCCCCAGGCCCCAGGGCCATTGGGGCCAGCTCCCCCGACTCCCAGGAGCCGACTGGGCAGAAAGCTTCCTCTTTGGCTCTGGCCCTGAACAGGGTCCCAGATTGGTGTGCGACCCAGGCCAGGGCCTGGGGGTCGCAGGCACCTAGTGGGCCGGTGCTCGAGCAGGTGGGGGTGGGGGAGCAGGCTGCAGTGGGCGGCGGGGCAGCCGCAGCGCTCACGGCACCCGTCTGCTTGTCTGTCTCTGCCGTGCGTCCGTCCGCTCGCCCAGTGGAGCGGTGCATGAGCGCCATGCAGGCGGGGACCCAGATGGTGAAGCTGCGAGGCGGCTCCAAGGGCCTGGTGCGCTTCTACTTCCTGGACGAGCACCGCTCCTGCATCCGCTGGCGGCCCTCACGCAAGAACGAGAAGGCCAAGAGTGAGTGGGGCGCCCGGGGTGGGGGGCCCCTCCCGGAGCAGCCCGCGCCGGGCGTCTCAGGGGGCTCTGGGCCACACTCACGGGCTCAGCGGGCCCTGGAGTTCTGCAGTGACCTGAGCACACAGGGCGGGGCACGGCCGGGCCCTGCTGCCCGCCTGGCACAGCTTTCTGGGGCTCCGTGGGGAGCACCCAGCCCCGTGCTGGAGGCTGGGCTGGGCTGAGAGGCAGGAGGACCGTCCGTCTGGCAGGGGAGATGAGACGTCCCTCCAGCACGGAGGCCCCGGCCGGGCGCGCCGAGGGCGGGACTTTGGTGCCAAAAGTCGGCCCAGGTGTGAGAAGCTGCCGTGGGGGTGTGAAGACGGGGTGAGGAGGGGTCCTGGGCGGGAAGATTCGTGCAGGGGATGGAGAGGCAGGGTCACTCTGCGGGGGCATGGCAGGGACTGGGCCGGGGGTCCCAGGGGTCAGGAAGGGACACGTAGGAGTCCTCAGGGACCAGGAGAAGGGGGTTTGCTGGCCTGCCTCTGGCGTTGCTGATAGGAGAGACCCAGATGTGACAGGGCAGGCCTCAGACCTGCAGTGGCCGAGGGCAGCACTGCCACCCCGGCCCAGGGGAGGGCCACACCCGGGGCCCTCTGGGAGAGTCTCCCGGGGGAGGGGCTTGCCCTCATCCAGAGTGCCTGCTCTGTGACAGGCACGCTTCCTGGCACTGGGCATCCTGGGGACACGGCCCATAAGAAAGTGTCCTTCGACGGGTGTGGGCATCACCACCCAGCCACAGGCCGGTCTCGTGTCCTGCCGAGGACGGGAAAAGCACAGGATGACAAACAGAGGAGAGTGGTGGGGGTTCACGGAGACCCCGAGGGGGCAGGGACCTGCAGGCCAGGCTGACTGTGGCCTTGGAGGGGTTCCCGGGAGAGAGGAATGGGGGGCAGCTGTTCCCTGACTGTCAGGCCCCCTCGTAGAGAGGCCCAGAACCACCTGCCCACCACGCGCACATGTGCACGCGGGGAGCTGGAGAAGGCAGGGGCAGGTGGGCTCTGCACGCCCGGGCAGGGGGCAGGGGCAGTGGGAGCTCCCAGGTGGCTGGGGGCAGAGGGTGGGGAGTCAGGGCCCCCCACGTTCTGCTCTGGACACGACGCCAGCCAGATGGGCACAGCCTCATGGGAGCAGCAGGAGCCGGTGCCGGTGGCGTTGGCGGGGGGCTCTGCGGAAGATGCAGTGGGGGCCACTGTGCTGAGCCCGGGGCGCCTGGCTCCCGGAGGGGGTGCTGGCCGCCTGTGCCTGCACGCACACGGGCGTGGACCCTGACACACCCTCAGAGCTCCCGGCACTTGTGCTCACTCAGCTTCTGAGCGGAGGCTCCGGGGCCCAGGCGCGCAGCCAGTAATGAGATCCTCGGTGGAAACTGAGTTGGCACCTGCTGAGCCGGAGCCCGCTGCACCCCCGGACTGCTGCGCCCCTTCCCCCTGCTGGTGCCAGAGCTTATTGCGAGGTGGCCACAAGGTCGCAGCCCTGCGGCCAGCACTTGCCTTCTCAGAATGGGGAGACAAGCCGGCCAGTGCTGGCCGGATGGAGCTGGCTCGTCCGGGCCGCTTCACTCTGCAGCCTCGGTCAGATGCAGAGGCCGGACGCGGGGCTGCTAAGTGGGGGTGGTGCCGCCCTCTGGGGTGCGTTTTTCACACACACGGTGGGGGGCATGGACCTCAGGGGCAGAGCGGAGCCCGCTCACTGTCCCCAGCACGTTCGCACCTGGTCTTTCTCCCACCCTCAGGGTCCCTGAGACAGTCCCCTGCCCAGCCACCCCCAGCCTCAGGCGGGACCGGCCTGGCCGCTCATGGCCCGGCGGTCACCGCGCGTGCTTGGTGGGGGCGCCTGCCGCGGGGAGGGCTGTGACTGGTTCCCCCCTCCCCCGCCCCCGCAGTCTCCATCGACTCCATCCAGGAGGTGAGCGAGGGCCGGCAGTCGGAGGTCTTCCAGCGGTACCCAGACAGCAACTTCGACCCCAACTGCTGCTTCAGCATCTACCACGGCAGCCACCGCCAGTCGCTGGGCCTGGTGTCGCCCAGCGGCGACGAGGCGCGTACTTGGGTCACGGGCCTCCGCTACCTCATGGCTGGCATCAGTGACGAGGACAGCCTGGCCCGCCGCCAGCGAACCAGGGACCAATATCCTTGGGCACGGGGGCGGACCCCGGGGACCCACCTCTGCCCCTGGTGGGCCCCACGTCTGGGGCAGGCAAGAGGGAAGGGGCACTTGGGCTGCAGGAGGGTGTGGGCTGGCCCTGTCGGACCTGTGGTGGCCCCTAACTCAGCCCCAAAGTGGCTGAAGCAGACGTTCGACGAGGCAGACAAGAACGGGGACGGCAGCCTGAGCATCGGCGAGGTCCTGCAGCTGCTGCACAAGCTCAACGTGAACCTGCCCCGGCACAGGGTGAAGCAGATGTTCAAGGTGGGGCGGGGCAGCGGGCAGCACCCACGAGGGCGCCAGGGGCCGCAGGGTGTCTGGGAGGGGCGGGGCCGGGGGCGCCGTGTGCGCTGCGGTGGGTGGACGCAGCTCGGCTGGCGGCTTTGGACCCGGAGGCACGCGTGGCCGGATGCTCAGTTGCTGCAGCTGCTCCCGGGGGTCCGCCCCAGGCTGCTGGACTGGGGCCGTGGGGCGAGCGTTGGGTCAGTGAGGAAGACAGCACCCCTTACCCGTCTCTCCTCGTAGCTCCCCCGCCTTCGTGGGGTGCACTGGCCTTGGCGGGGTCCCAGGCACCCACCCCTCTCAGGGGCGGCAGCTCTGGTTGCCCGTCCTGCACAGCCTCCCTGTCCCAACTGGCATTAGAACTTATGAAAATGCATCTTTCCGCTGAGCGAGGCCTTTATCGGCTGTAATTAGTTTCTCTCCTTCCGGAACCTGCTGGGGCAGGAGGAGGGACGCGGAGCCAGCAGGTCCCGGTTCAGGCAGGGACAGGAAAGTGGCGATGGGCAGGCAGGTCAGCCCGGCCCGTGGGACTCGTCTTGCTGCTGCCTGGAAAGAGGGACACCAGAGCCTAAGCCAGGCCCCGCATGCCGACACGCAGGCACACGCGCACACACAGGCACACACGTGCTCACCCAAGATGCACACAGGCCACGTGCGCACACTCACATGCATGCATGCATACACACACACAGGCACACACATGCTCACCCAAGATACACACAGGCCACGTGCACAAACACACGCACATAGGCAGGCATGCACACACACACACATGCTCACCCAAGGCACACATGCACACATGTGCGCATGAGCATGCATGCATGCACATGCACATGCACAGACACATGCGATACACAGTGCACGTAAGCGCACACGTGCACGCACTGCATGCACAATGCTCACTCAAGACATAGGCACGTGTGCACAAACATACACACATGCACACACAGGCACACACACTTAGGCACAGGCACACACAAATGCACGCACACACACTCACGTAGCCAGATAGCTCTGCCAGGCACGGGCCTTGGTGGTCCCCCAGGGTTCCTGCAATGGACGGGTGATCACGCTTGGCTGGAGCAAGGGGAGCTAACCAGCTCCACGCAGGGGTGTGTGCGTGAGTGGGGGGCTCGCGGGGCCCCTCCTGAAGGCCCCCCAGTGGGGACAGAGCCTGCCTGGTCAGTGTGGAGCTGACAGATGGCTCAGACCTGCAGATCGGCACCCCCTGCGCCCCGTCTCCCCTGCCTTCCCCACCTCCAAGGGCATCTCTGGGGTCAGCAGGCCCTTCCAGAATGGCAAGGCTGCCCCGAGGGCCTGGCCACAGGCTGGCCAACGCAATGGGGTCCAGGCCTCTGAGGTGGGAGGAGAGGAGGGCCCCTCATGGAGTACAGGGTCCAGCACTAAGTCCTGGTTTGAAGATGCCCCGTGTTGTGGCTCTGAGAAGCGTACCCTGCTTGCCCCTCCCGTAGGCACGCGGGGCCTCTCAGGCACCAGGACTGCCCAGGCCCGGCTGTGTCGGCCTCCAGTGATCACCCAGGAAGCCCCGGGCGGTGGGCAGGCAGGCTGGGCTCCGGGCTGATTCCGGAGAGGAGTGAGTGGGAGGCTGTTGGCCATCGTCCCCAGTGGTTAGGACGGTGGAGACGACCCCGATTCCTGAGCGCCTGGGCCGCCCTGCCCTCCGCTCGGCCACCCTCTGTGGATGCTCAGAGCCAGGCAGGGGCTGACCTCGGCTGGCAGACAGGCCGGGGGTCCGCGTCAGCTTGGCCGCGCGACATCTCAGTGTTGTTTCTGCCCCTGGAGCTGCCTGGCTGACCTCAGCTGGCAGACAGGCCGGGGGTCCGCGTCAGCTTGGCCGCGCAATATCTCAGTGTTGTTTCTGCCCCTGGAGCTGCCCGATCAGAGGAGGGATCTGTGTGGTGGGTGAAGAGTGAACGTAGTGTCAGTAAGTCCAAGAGGACAGCGGGCTGTGGGCCCTGGGCCTCGCTGCCTGACGAGCCCCCAGGGCTGGCTCCCGGCCGGCCTGTGCTTCCGGCTGCTGCCAGTCCCTGGTGTGAAGGGCAGCAGCCCGCCCACACGGGCGGTTTCTGGGGCTCGGGCCTCCTAGGGGCCCCGTCGTCACAGAGCGTGCTCAGTCACTGCTGGGGGCGCACGGAGCCCCACGGAACCCAGACCATGCTGTGGGAGGGATGCCCAGCTCTGCCCATCCCCAGCCACGTCCCCTGGGAGGGCTGCCAGCACAGCTCTGTCCCGAAGTGGCCCTCTGGCCTGCAGGGTGTGCCCTGTCCAGTCTGTCCTGGCCAGTCTGATGCAGAGCTGCCCTCACACTCAGCGCCGGACACACCAGTGCACGTGGCTGCGGTCCTCACAGCAAGCTGGCCCTGTCCTAGCCTAGGCGTGCGGCCCCCG